CCACAAACATTCCAAAGTCCTGGTTTTACAGAACACGGGCTGCATTACACATGCATTTAAAATACAGCCTTGGAACACAAGAGCAAATAGTTTCTAGGCTAAAGGTAGGTTTTTGTAGGTAGTATAATAATCATAAATTGCGCCTATGTAAGCAGGCACATTGCATGTCTAACATACAAGATTCCTATCCAACACCCACTCACACGTCAGCCGGCTTTAGTCCTGACAACGAGGAGACGTTGGCGTACGGAAACCTACAGGGAACTTTTCACCTGTAATCACAGCATCCTTATTGGTCATTTTCTCTTCTATACCATTTTTTTTTTTTTTTTTTGCTCCGGGATTTTCCCCCACCCATCACCTCAGTCCATCTCCTGCCTTCCTTCAGCCCATACTACCTACCAACTACCATCATCCCCTGGCACCTCCAGGGGACTGGTTCCAGGATGCCCCCTTGGATACCGGAATCCATGTCSTTCAAGTCTCTCGTACCCAATGGCCTAGTATTTGCATCAAAACTATGGACAGCCTTCCATTACTTTAAACCACCGCTAGGTCATTTCTAATACAATGTGAGTGCTGTGTTAATAACTGTCATTCTGTCTTGTTTACAGTATGACAAGAAGGGAAAGTCTGTCCGTGCTCAGTATGGATGCAACTTTGTGTTTTTGAGGGGCTCAGGTACTGGGGACTGAAYTCAGGGGCACATGACCACTGAGCCACATCCCCAGCMAGATTTATTTTGTATTTTATTTAGAGACAGGGTCTCACTGAGTGGCTTAGTGCCTYRCTGTTGCAGAGGCTGGCTTTGAACCTGCCATCCTCCTGCCTCAGCCTCCTGAGCCATGCGATTACAGCATGTGCCACTGCACCTGGCCAGATGCAACTTTTAAAAATACTTTTRGTCCGTAGTTGGTTGAATCTACAAATGCAGAGCCTGCGGATAGCAGGGGCTGGCTGTGTATGCTCCATGATGAATACTGGCACGATGCATCTGCACATGATCACTTTTTACAGCTGACTCTCAGGCTATCCTTGCTGGGGCCAACATAAAGCTGTCGTATCACCAGCAGAGACTGGTCTGCAGGTCATTTTYACCTTCCTGTGGTTTACATATGCATCATAAAGGACAATAAAAGAAATGGCTAATCTTGCATGTTCAGCTATTCTTACTTTACATAGCTGATTTAAGCCATATGGGGCAAACAGTGACATTCCCAGAGGCTCTCTGAGCAAAAAAGTATAAGAGATGTGATTCTGCAATCTGTATACAGGGTAAAAATGGAAGTTCATAATCCACTTGAATCAAATGTAAAAATGTCAAGAGCTTCGTAATGTTTTGAACAGCTAATAATAATAATAATAAAATAGTTAAAAAAAAATTTGAAACAAAAAAAGTTGCCAGGCCAACTCCTGTCACTGCATTAACAGGAAGGGATATGAAGTAAAAGGAAGGGGAGAATGAGTTTCCTTTTGTGCAAGAGCCATAACCCTCGAGGACCAAATATCACACTACAGAACCAGAGAATGAGGTGGCCAGCGGAAGGCTGGGTCCCTCGAGACAACTGGGAGCCACTTCCTATGGATCCTGTCCCCCTGGGGGTGCTGAGGTGCTGATACTTGCAAACTGAATGGWGGTGTTCACAAATGACACCAGCATSCGTCACTGCTGTCCGGTGCTTGTCTGAGCTAATAAGCCAGGCCTTTTGTCCTTCCTAGGGCTGGGGACTCCCATCTGGAGACTGAGCCAGAGCCTGGCTCCAGGACATGATAGAGATGCCACCTTCCACCCAGGCCCATGTCTTTGCAAAGCCAAGGCTGCACTATACTGCAAGGAAGCACAACCCAGCCTTCTGGGTGCTTTCTTTTCTCTTTGTACTTCCTTTTTATAAGCAGGCGTGTGTTCACACACACACACACACACACACACACACACACACACACACACACACACCTGTTGCCTCCTGCAGTCAGTGTCTCTGCCCTGGAGAGGTCCCAGGATAAAACATCCAAACTGTGATCCCAACTCCTCTCAGCACTGCACACGCTGAAGTGCAGGGGCCGCTCACCCCAGTCCCTCCTGGGCTAACAGAACAAAAAGTCAGGAGGCTATCAAATCCCCGTCAAAAAGAACTCGTTAGGAAGCACCTTGATCTGAGCTTGACAAGGTGCTCAAATACCAAAAGGGGGGTGAGRGAAGCCACCCGCAGGCTGTGACTCTGTCTCCTCAGTGTGGAGCTTGCAGCTAGAGGAGAATCAAAATCTCCACTGAATCTTAGCCCAAAGTGATCTCTTCACCCCCATAAGCAAATGCATCCTCCGCCACGTAGGTGAAGCTGAATGAATCCCCTGCGCCGCCCACCAGGCCAGACGCCTTCAAGAACTAACAGTCAGATACAAGGATGAGTCCGGCACTGCCAGGCCAGCTCCTGTCACTGCTGGCAGCATTCACAGGAAGGGACATGAAGTACCCTGCACCCTGAAGGCCTGTGTATGGTGGAGCAGGGGGCTACGTGACGGGCCTCTCTGTGAGGTTGGAATGTTCTAGATCTGTGCTGCCTAGAAGGGTGTCACCACATGTGACTGAGAAGCCAGATCTGTCATCTTCCTGTGACTGCCAAGCTTAAGAGGCCACTGTGGCTGACAGGCGCCTTCAAGAGCAGCACAGGGCCMGGCCCTGCTGACCTCTGACCTCGATGACCACTCTCCCAGAAGCCAGCTCATCTCCCCTGGGTGTCTCCAAGGCACCGAGGCCCAGTCGGTGCCTTTTCCAGRTTCAGGAAACATTTATTGCCTTCTTCACTAAGTGATCAGTACTGGGGACCCCACCTTTCCTCCCAGCTCCCCACCTCCTGACCCCTTCCCTGGGGCTACTCACGAGATAACATTTCATAATGACTGAATGGTTTTCCCTTCAGACGTCAGCTCTCTGCAGTCCTGCCACCTCCTCCAGGCAGGGACCACCACCCCAGGACCTTGTGCAGAGCTGACCACACAGATCCACCAGCCAAGGTGTTTGGACCATCTGTACCAGGAGTGGAGTCGGGCTCTTGGGAGATGAGTTGAACACCTACCCATCAAAACAYGATGCTTCTTGGGGCTGGGGACAGGGCTCAGTTGGTAGAGTGCTGGCCTCGCATGAACAGGCCCTGGGTTCCATCCCCAGCACCACAAAAACAAAACAAAACAAAACAAACAAAACAACTGCTTCTTCCTTGGGRAATGGAGTCCTGAGGCCCGTGGGCTCAACAAGCTCTCGGATCACAGCCCTTTGTTTGTGGGGTGGTGGAAATGCCGGCCAAGGCTCACACAGATGAAGAGCAAATGGGCTGGGTAGGCCGGGGCTCCCTCTTCTAATAAGTGCCACCCCCTTATACACAGCTGGGTCTGCAAGGTGGGCCGTGGCCACTGAGTACGGACCACAAGGGGCGGTGTGTGTTCACCCCACTGAACACCCCACAGCTGGCAAAACCCCCTTGAGAAGTCTCCAATGTCAGAGACCAGCTCTACTCTGGCCTCTGCCTTCTCTCAATTCAGAACAGGCCTGGACTGGGGACACAGCTCAGTGGAGGTGTGTTTGCCTAGCGTGTGTGAGGCCCGGATTTGATCCCCCAACTCCACAAACACACACACACACACACACACACACACACACACACACACAACTGATCTTATGCAGACAATATGCCCTGGGGAGCAATTGGAGAGCAACAGTGAGGTGCTATGTTTTGGGTGTGTGTACCCTCCCTAAATTTCAGGAATTGACAAGTTAATTCCCAAATTCCTCTGGGGGTCGTATTTGGAGGTGCACCTTTGGGGGTAGGTCTCGTCGTTATTGCTCTAACTCCCAGAAGACCACAACCTTGGTGGTCTCTCAGGCCTCTCAGAGACGAACAGGTCCCTGGAGCAGAACGGGCTTCTTCAGGTGCAGGGGACTGAGAACTACTGTGGGTCTCAGCGCTGCCCTTAGATAACACAGAAACCATGCAGCTCTCTGACGTCGTCACAGGCCGAGTCCTTATGTCCCCTGAGCTCTGGAAGGTGCTGCCCTGGGCTCCCCCGGGTGGTACCTGCAGGTGGGGTCTTTGGGAGGTGGTCAGGTTCAGGCAAGGACATAGGGGTGGGTCCCCATGGTGGCATTAGTGTCCTTATGAGAAGAGAAATCAGAGGAGACTTCCTCTCTGTCCGCCACTTGAGGACACAGTGAGAAGGCTCCCTCCACAGAGGGGAAGGGAGCCCTCCCCCAGAGCCAACCAGGAGAACACCGATGGTGAGACTTCTGGGCTTCAGAAGAGAGAGAAAACCAGTGTGGAATTCCGCCACGGAAGGCCCAGAGACCACGGACCCCTTCCCTGGGGCTACTCACGAGATGACATTTTACCATAACCTAATGGTTTTCCCTTGAGATGTCAGAATCCACGCCCAGGGTGGGAGGTAAAGAGGCAGCACTTTCTCAGATGACTGGACGCCTCGGTCCCACTTGGTCTGTTTTGTCCTCTCAGCTCTCCACACCCACAAGGACTTCGAGGCGTGTCGGGGAGCATGGTGTCACCAGCAAACCTCGGAGAGAGTGTGAGGCAGCAAGGGACGCATGACCCACCAGGACAACAGTGTGCAGAGGGCCACCCACCTCTGGACCGTTTCATTGAGAAAAATTCATGCAGAGGGCAGATGCATTTCAATAGGCTCGTTGGTGGCCAAGACAAGGACCAGCTCCCAAGGCTCGACTCCAGTCCCTCAAGGTCCCCAGGGCCTCTGACTCCACAGCTGACCACCGTCTGCCCACACTTTCCTTCCTTCCTCTGCTCCCTCCCACCTTTGGGCTTCTGACCAGCCCCWATCAGGAATCAGGGTGGGCATTCCATGTGCCAGCCAACAGGGGGCAGCACTGGGCCAGGACACACACACACCWGCAGAGCTGGAAGGGAAAGCAGATCCACTGCTGTCCATAGGAGATTCTGGAAAACCTGAAGAGAGCCCCTCCCCTCCCCCAGGCTTACCTTTCAGAGTTGGAAGAGGGCTGTCTGGTCCGTCAAGTTGTCCCAAAGGGTCGTTCGGATCTGGAACCTCCACTTCCCCTGGGAAAGCCAACAGAGAGGTTCCTTAAACACAGGGCCACTTGAGGAGGCCAAGACAAAGACAGGTATTCAAGCAAAGCCGCCCACCCATGGTTTGTAGAAAATGTGGAGGGATCAGACGTTAGGCTAAATTCTATGGGGCTTTCACAGAACCAGATCTGATACAGCAGTAAAAGGGATTTCCAAGCTAATCCCAAGAACAGCACAAGCAGTATGAAGCCCTCGGTGTGGCCCAGGGAGAGGGGAGACRGAGAAAGAACCGAAGAAATTAAAGCACTGGCTGGCAAACAAGACACATCTGTAGCCAGATTCAGCAGCCCTGCAGACGGAGTTTCCTGGTAATCAGGGGATAAATTCAGAATCGGAGACTTTCTGAAGTGACTCATTCCCCTCCCCTACCCCAGACCCACCACAAGTAGCCCAGCAAGAATGGATTCCACAACTGTCCATGACAATCTAACCCCAACTGCCCACTCTACAGAGACCAGTGGGTGTGTCTCCAGCCACCCCAGATGCACCCAGACACAGCGACAAGCACAGACTTAGTTTGAACACTCAGCTTCAAATACACACAGTGAGGTGCCCGCGATCCCAGGGTCCCGGGAGAAGGGTGGGCAGGGTGGCGGATGCCCAGGAAGCTGCCACAGGCACTATTCTCCTATCCCACCTGCCCGTGCCATTCACATTGACTTTCTGGCCTTGCCCAGTACCTTGATCTGGACAGGGTCCCACTGGTTGTGGGTGGGTGGAAAGGTTAAAGTCAGGGGTGACGTGACCACACCCAGGATGGACCTGGGTCTGAGCTATGGAAAGCCCGTCTGAGAACAGCAGACACAGGTCATGATGACTGTCTTAAAGTGAAGAGGAYCCTCACGCATGCCACAGCAGGGATGACCCTTTAGAACAACACTGGGCACTGAAGGACAGGTGGTGTGCGATTCCACTGCCACGAGGTATCCAGAGCAGTCAAGTCCACAAACACGGAGAGCCAAGAACGGTGGCTGCCAGGGGATGGCCAGCAGGAACGGGGATCTGTTTAATGGGGACAGAGCTTCATCTGGGGAACAGATGAAGACATTCCTGAAGACAGGKGGTGGCGAGGTGGCACAGCAACACGAACGTACTTAATGTCGTTAAGTTGTACCTTAAACAGGGTTCACGCGGCAGATTTTTTTGGCATGTGTACTTATCACAATTTCTAAAAATATATCAAAGAGAACTTTTTAATTCTATCACAGGTGATTCCATTTGGCTAATAAATGAGAGCCRATAATTAACAACCATCTGGGCATTTTGAGATGCCTCTGTAAGAGGAGGTTTGTAGGAAGAGCTGGGTATGACCATGAGGGCAAAGGGTCTGCACAGACAACCAGGAAGGCACAACTTCAGACCGCCTGGCTCAATAAGGACCTCCAGACTAGTCCCTTAGTCCTCTCTGTGCTTCTGGTCCCTGCCCCATGGGGCTCAAGAAAGTCCACGTYGAGATCTCAGCACCCTCCTTTCTGATGGGCAGGAGGGGATCCGGGACTTTTCACTTCTGGCACAAACATCCCTCYGGGGCCATCTTTAATAAAACATCCCGACCCTATAAATCTTCCTCCAAACCATATACTTCTTCTAGGGCAATCACACCTCTTCCCCCCAACTAAAAGTTGCACACACTTACATCCTACAACAGTTTGAGGAAGCAGGGGCTGCATTCAGGGGGAAGGGCTAGTGTCCTGGTCATTAAGATCAAGACAGAAGTATAAGCTACTCGAGGCAGCCAACCAATTTCTGCTCAAGAAGTAGGACYTGAGTTTAGATTTGAAGTTTTAAATTGGCATATTACACCTACTGGCACTCAGCACTGTTTAAATGTAGAAAGACCACATAAACTCAAACATACTTGCACTATATACACACACAGGTCGAAAAGAGGCATAAAAAGCACTCACTGCTTAGAAATTGACAAATGGTGGGAGGCAGTCAAATAAATATAGGCCCCGAAGAAAAATAAGCTCCAGTATCCCAAGTCCACGGTGGAGCAGATTCCAGGCGCTTCTAGGTCAGCTTCCCATCTGGGAGCAGAGGCATATTCCCTGTGGACTCTCCTTGTGGATGGGATGGAGGAGATTCACATGCTGCTTTTATTCTTAGCAGGTGCAGCCCCTGCATGCACATGCAACGCCACTGCTATCAACCCTGGGAGTCTCTGGGAATACTGTCTGTTGATTAGCACAAAGCTTTGGGGTCTGATTTTGTTTCTTGCAGCCTCCTGGGCCACCCTAAGGCAAACTATTTTGGTAATTTGAGTAAAGGAGTGTATCCTATTTGGAATGACAGGTTACRTTCCAAGTTGATACCGGAGCCCCACCAGCTTTGGGACTTAGGATGTACAGGCCGAGTGTGATTCCCTGTGCAAGTCAGGTGTGTTTAATGTGATCTTGGTGTGAAATCACCAAGATCCTGAGAACAGAAACCTTGGGTTCYAGCAAAACTGGGTTCTGTTATGATTTGCTCCCTGAAAAATGAAGACACCACCTCACATCTCACATCAGAAGGGTGAATACGGTACAAGAAGATATTTCCAGAAAGAAAAGAGGGACACATAACTTTTATTATAACACATCGTTGTAACTTCCTACTTTATTAGTAACTGTTATTTTCTTATTGTGCCTAATTTATAAACTAAAACTTTATCATGGGTGTGGACAAACAGCGTCTGTAGAATCCTGAACTACCTGCCATTCCTAAAGGAAACCACTGGGRGTCTTCGAGAGGGTCTTCCTCACATGGAGGTGGAGAGGATGGGGGTTCTTTACCTCACAGGCCACTGGGCTTTCACCTGCTCCAGGAACAGTCACCTGGCTGACGACAAGTTCATGAAGCAAAGCCTGCATCCATCGTAACTGGCTGGGCAGACCTCAAAGAGCTACAGAAAGACATGGATTCCTCCGTGGTGCCAGAGAACAGAGTCTGAGAGCAGACCTGTCTGTCTTAGCTCCCCAGGACTTCTTTACCCATCTTCTGAAAAGGAGCACACTGCTCTGGGTGAATCACATGCCCTTCATTTTAGTGAGATGCTGATAGGGGACCACATATGTCAACAAGACTGGCAGGTGTATGTGCACAGCATTCCCGACTTCCCCCTCCACTGGATGTGCTGGAAAACCACAGGAAGAGTGACATGGTAACTGGTGGTGCATCAGCTCCTGCTGGCTTTCTGATGTCTAAAGAGAGGGAAACATTTAATATGAAACAAAAATATATGTGCACCCGGTTATTATGAAGCGAGTGTGTGGAATGTGTAGTTCTGTCCGTGTTGAAAGCATCCATTACAGCCTTGAAGGAAAGACTGAGTGTAATGTGGTATCCAAGATGGGTCAGAAAGGGGATATTAGGTTTTAAAAAAGGAAATATGAGTAGTATGGATTTGGGTCAAGAATAATTTATTAACGTGGTGTGACCCAGGTACCAGGCTAATGTCGCATGTTAACAAGTGGGAAAACTGCACATTCCATCTTCCTGTTCCAACCCATAACAAAGCTCACAGGTAAGAAACAACCTGTCTCCAAAAACCTTACCTCCTAATGACACAGTCATTAGAAATGTCCCCAAAGCCAAGCATGAATGCCAACCAAATAAACAGAAAGGACCCAGACTAACTGGGGCTGGAGACAGGCAGTCAATGATTCACACAACTTTCCAGAAGGGCTCAGAGATAAGATACTCTGGAGAATGTGGGTGTTTCTAGAGCCGAGTTCTATACTAATCGTCATTGGCAAGGCGATATCCGTTCTCTTATTTTATTTGTTCTTTTTAGTTATGCATGACAGTAGGGACTGTTTTGACATATTTGTAAAAACATGGAGTACATCCTACTTTAATTAGGATCTCTGTCTTGTGGACGCACAAGACGTTCATACATGTGCATAGGAAAGTTATGTCCCCTTCCTTCCACTGTCTTTCCTACTCCTATCCCCAGTCCCCTCCTCATTCCCCTGCATCTAATCCACTGAACTTCTATTGTCACCCCCTCCCCCTTATTGTGAGTTAGCTTCCACACATCAGAGAGACTTTTTGACCTGTGGCTTCTGTGGCTGGCTTATTTCACTTAGCAGGATAGTCTCCAGAGCCATCCATTTACTGGCAAATGCCGTCAGGGTCACTCTTCTTTATGGCTGAGAAACATTCTGTGGGGCGTATGTACATTTTGTTGATCCATTCATCTGACGAAGGGCACCTAGGTTGGTTCCATAGCTTAGCTATTGTGAATTGAGCTGCTACAAACATTGAGGTGGCTGCATCACTGTAGTATCACTGATTTTACATCCTTTGAGTATATACAGAGGAGTGGGACAACGGGGTTAAAGGGTGGTTCCATTCCTAGTTTTCTGAGGAATCTCCATACTGCTTTCCGTAGTGGTTGCACCAATTTGCCGGCCCACCAGCAACGCATGAGTGTACCTTTTCCCCACATCCTCACCAACATTCATTGTTCCTTGTATTCTTGAAAATTGCCTTTCTGACTGGAGTGAGATGGAATCTCAGTGTAGTTTTAATTTGCATTTCTCTAATTGCTAGAGATAGTGAACATTTCTTCATGTATTTGTTGATCGTTCATATTTCTTCTTTTGAGAAGTATCTGTTTAGTTCCTTTGCCCATTTATTGATTGGGTTATTTCTCTTTTTCATGTTAAGCTTTTTGAGTTCTTTGAATACTCTGGAAATGAACACCTTATCTGAAATGCAGGTAGCAAAGATTTTCTCCCATTCTGTAGGCTCTCTCTTCATATTCTTGATTGCTGTGAAGAAGCTTTTCAGTTTGACACTATCCCACTGATTCACTTTTTAAATTTTACTTCTTGCACTTTGGGAGTCTTGTGGAGGAAGTCAGTTCCTAAGCTGACATGTTGGAGTGCTGGGCCTACATTTTCTTCATAAATAGACACTGTATACCATGCGAGCAAAACCCTTAAGGAAACCCTCTTTCAATGTGAACCTTTCATGTGGCATCTTGACTGATGGAATCAATAGGAGAAATTAATATCTGCCAAGTAGCAGGAGAGTGCATCCTGATTCCCAGGCTCATTCTTTAATAATATGATA